TAACTCACTGCGTAGCCAAGTATCCGCGTATCCAATAAATACTACATCTCTCTTATCATTACGTCATTTTCAATTTAACTCACTGCGTAGCCAAGTATCCGCGTATCCAATAAATACTATACATCTATCTTTAGTCTTTACCATATTTTTAATTTAACTCACTGCGTAGCCACGTATCCGCGTATCCAATAAATACTACATCTATCTTATCATTACGTCATTTTCAATTTAACTCACTGCGTAGCCAAGTATCCGCGTATCCAATAAATACTGCATCTCTCTTATCATTACCTCATTTTAAATTTAACTCACTGCGTAGCCAAGTATCCGCGTATCCACTAAATACTATACATTTATCTTTAGTCTTTACTATATTTTTAATTGAACTCACTGCGTAGCCACGTATCCGCGTATCCAATAAATACTACATCTCTCTTATCAGTACGTCATTTTAAATTGAACTCACTGCGTAGCCAAGTATCCGCGTATCCACTAAATACTATACATTTACTTTAGTCTTTACCATACTTTTAATTGAACTCACTGCGTAGCCACGTATCCGCGTATCCAATAAATACTACATCTATCTTATCATTACGTCATTTTAAATTTAACTCACTGCGTAGCCAAGTATCCGCGTATCCACTAAATACTATACATTTATCTTTAGTCTTTACCATATTTTTAATTGAACTCACTGCCTAGCCACGTATCCGCGTATCCAATAAATACTACATCTATCTTATCATTACGTCATTTTCAATTTAACTCACTGCGTAGCCAAGTATCCGCGTATCCAATAAATACTATACATCTATCTTTAGTCTTTACCATATTTTTAATTGAACTCACTGCGTAGCCACGTATCCGCGTACCACTAAGTATCACGATTTATGCATGGACGGGTATTCTGCAATCGCTCCTCGGGTTTTACTTGCACGCGCTTGTATTACGTAATACTTGGCCAATAAGGAGCTCCCTTTAGCCGGGATGACGTCAAACTCACGCGTATGGGTGCACTTTGACCTGTAGAATCCATTTCTGGCATTTCCAGAGTCACGCGATACAAACTACGCATTGTTTTGACGGGTTTTCGTCGTATTTCCGGTTTGGGATTAACGCATCGGGCAGAAATGCAAAATTCGGCAAGAAAACTCACGTTTTAAAGATAGAAGCTTGAAAATAACACTATACGTGTTATTTTTAACTGCTTCATTCATCAAGAATACAAGAATGAGCATACGTCTCAAGGGGCCGAAGTTATGTTCGGCGAAAGGTATGTCTATGTTTATAATTTGTTAGTAATATTGCGTAATTTGATCATATATAAGCCCGTTTGACTTTCAAAGCTTATAAATCGCTGCAATGTAGCCATTGACTAAAACTATCGTTATAAACTAGTATATATTTTTACACTGAATCGAATGGTGGTATTTTCATCTACATAACGTTGACTGAACCGAAGATATGAATGAAACAGACTTAGTACGTCCACGTACTAAGATTAATGGCCGTGCTTTAAAAGATTAAACTCTATATTACAGTTAAAAAATGTGAAATTTCAAATACATGTTCTAACACAAATGACTTACATCATTTCAAAGCTTGCAAAAAACTACATATAAGACATTTAAACGGTTACCCGGGTTTTTCAAGTTCTTCTTGAGTTATGAGCTGTTGAATGCGTGTTTTCAGACTAGTACCCAGGAAATTTGCGAGATTTTGGACTGTTTTTGAAACGGCAATAACTCTAAAACCGCTTGAAAATCCCAACTAACTATTTAAATGTCTTATATGTAGTTCTTTGTTAGCTTTCTATTGATGCAAATCATTTGTATTGGAAATGTATCAGAAATTTTACATTTTTTAACAGCGGTTTAAATTCGAAGAAAAATGTGTCGGCAGGAGCCTACAAGAAATTTTAACGCGGCCAACATACAGAAACGTTACTTACTAGCCTTCAGGGCACAATATGAAGGCAAAATAGAATTGTCCCACGATAAAGTAAGTTTTCCATAATTTTGATTATCTATCTGCCTGACTAGAAAGATCATACTAAAACTGGTAAAATTGTAAAGTTTGGTTGCGAAATGTTGTAAAATGCGAAAAATATAGCCTTGCAAATTTGCAAATTTTGTATACTTTTGTATTGCGTGCGGAAATTGCTACCACATTTGGCCCGAAAATGCATATGGTAGCAATGGTAGGAAAATGGTGATTTATTAGCATCTCCTTGCTTAGTTTTATCCCAATGTCTATTGTAATATTAAGGTTGCCTTGAAACCCTATTTGACTTTAGGTCATATTTTCGCAAAGCCGAAAGGCCCGGTTCCAGTAAATCAGAAAACTAGTTTTGTATATTCTATACTATGCAGTGACTGCGAGAAAGAATAGATAGATTTAGATCGAGGACGTGGACGTCAAAGACGACGTGAAAATGGCGTCAAAAGGCGTGGCATATCCATATACGGGCACAACATGCCATTTTCACGTCTTCTTTGACGTCCGCGTCCTCGATCTAAATCTGTCTAATATCTGGGTCAGTCCAAACGCCAGTTTGTCACACGCCTAAAAGGAAATCAGATCAAAAGTCTATTTTAACTTTAAATACAGTGGTGCCTAAATTACTTTGAATTTGTACTTGATAATAATAATAATAAATATATATTTTGCATTTTTTTGAAAATTACAAATATTAACAATTAATTCTTCAATAATAAGTAGAATAATAAATATGAATAGTTAACACACCGTTTAATAAATATTGGGCCTGGTAAGTAAATTAATCGTGAGGTTTTCTGGTTAGTTACCAGCCTATTGATTTTAAAATTTAATCAGAGATGAAAGATAATTTGTTTAACAGAGCCAAATAAAAAGCGAGACTTTTACTCCAATAGCATCAACGAAAATAAAAGTGACTCAGCTAAATTATGGAAAACTCTAAAGAGCGTGATCTCCAACACTAAAAATACTGCAAACATTGGATGTCTGGAGAGTGAAATTGGCATAGTTGCAAATGGAGATTGCACAAAGCTTTTCCAAAAACTTTCAAACAGCTGTGATGAAAATAAGAAATAACTTATCTTCTCTGCCCAATGTAGCAAGCTTAGCGGCAAAGGCAAGCTGTACTTTTAGCCTTTCTACAGTAAGCGAGGAATTTGTTTGGAAGGAGCTAAAGAAAATCAAAACATCTAAGTCAACTGGCGTGGCTATATACCTGCACGCCTCCTTAATGTCTCAATCAATTCCATGAGTCCCCCCCCCCCGGCGTTTGTCGGGCATTTTCAACTGTACTTGTTGCCAGGGTTGGGCATTTGCTTTCTGCACGTTAGCCCCGGGGTGGGGAATTTGCTCGATGCTAAAAAGCCGAATATTTATCGCTTGTTTCGCCATTTAGCCGTACTTTAGTACTAGCTGTGGCTTCCTAGACAAGCTTCAAAGGAGGGCAGCTAGTATCATTGAGGGGAGTAGAATCAGGCAGTGCGACATTAACCTAACTTTTAGTTGGCCATACGTCCAATCTCGTAGGGCCTATCAAATTTGCTTGCAAGTTTTTAAGTGTCTGAATGGTCTAGAACCTGCGTATTTATTGCATAAATTTAGATTTGCCAATGAAATCCATGCCTATAAAATACTAGAAATAGGGGATTTATACCTGCCATCCGGCATGAGTAAAATTTATACTATTTTTTAACCTTCATACTCTAGATGTTGCCTTTCCACAGCTCGTTACTGCGCAGTGTACTGTATGTGCACATGTCAACAGACAGAATAGACAATTAAAGAGCCACACACGAGCTCTGGGTTACTTTGAGTTAGGGGTTACTGTTTACCCCTGGCCGTTTTATTATTAAAATTAATTAACCTTTATTAAACTTTAACAGAAATAATGAACTATAATTTTTTTATATGTTTCAACATTGTTTTGCCCAGTCAGGTGAGGGCACAAATTACACCAACACTCATCACCCAATACCATAACAACCAAAATGATGGATGCAAATATAGGGAGGCGGTGGGATAAAAAAGTTCGATGACTTCACTCGACAGCTGACTTCAAGCGAATGAATGCAAAACCTTTGAGGGTGGCTTTAGAACCCCCTGTGCATCAATTATATCGCGATGTTTCACCAGTAAAACTATTTGCCTAGAGCCAAAGTTTTATCTTTGACATGCATGCTTCCTCCACACCTATAGCAGAGTTAATTTCCTTATCACTAATAATAACAGGATGCCTGATGACAGAAATAAAATTCCTATTCGCAAGCAAATATTTTATTTGCTCCGATTACCTTTAAGGCCCTGTTACACGGTGCAATTTTTCATGCAACTTGTCTCGCAATGGCGTTGCGAGACAAGTTGCACGAGTCATTGCACCGTTTAACATGCCTTGCAATGGTCAAAATCGTTGCGAGACAAGTTGCATGAAGCATTGCAGAGAGTAGAAGTCGGTTCCACTTTTGGCAGCGATTGCACTAATTATTTTTAGCATTGCAGCGTGTAACATGGCTTCGTGCAACTTGTCTCGCAATGTTTAATGCTTGGAGAGTTCCTATTGGCTCTCCCCAGTACACGCTTTACTTTAATTAAAATTTGGCGCCAAATTGCGCCTCTCCCTATTCTCTTCGCATGCCTCTGTCCCGTATCGTTGCGAGTTGCATGAATATCATTGCAGCGTGTAACACCTCTTGCAATGCATTATCAAAATCTTTTTTTTAAACATTGCGAGACAAGTTGCATGAAAAATTGCACCGTGTAACAGGGCCTTTAGCAAGAACGGAAAAGTTTCAAGTCTCTTTTCGATACAATGGAGCAAAAACATGGAATTTGCTACCATCAAGTTTTAGAAATGAAACTAAGTTTACAAAATTTAAGATAGATCTTAAGAAGTTCCTAAGGGAAAGTTCCTTTAATAGTCATTAGACTTTATCATAATATTAGATTGTATGTAAATATTTATGATATTTATAGCCAGGGCTCCTATTAAACCAGCGACTGTATGCTGAATCGGACATCCCTGATTAAATATTTTCATCGTCGTCGTCGTCGTCGTCGTCGTCGTCGTCGTTGTCATCATCATTATCATCTATTGTATTTATGCCACTACCTCGGCAGCCATGTTTATTCTATCTGCATGAATTTCGTACAGTCCACACAAAACAGTGCAGTCGACTGGAACACAGACTAAGAAATACCTGACATGTTGATTTAAAAAAAATAACGAAGCATGGACACAGGCATCAATCACACATACTAGATATTTTATTATTACTCCCTATACACTTTGTATAATCTTTAGAACTTATTACTAATTTTGTTTACAACAACGTTACTTAAATTACAAACTACGAAACTTGATTTCTTTTTTTCTCAATATAACTAATCATTATAATGAAGCAAGTAATTCGATTACACTAATTACTGTAACAACGAGCCACAGTGTGTCACTGTGTACAATCAGACCACTATTTGGATCTGGGCAAACTTCGACGCCATCAGCCGGTTGCCCAGGCCAACCAATTTTGTATTTCTTGCTGCATCTTTCTTTCACCAGCCACTTTTGGAGTGGTTGAAAGTATTCCTTCATTGGAGCCACAGACATTTCTTTGCTTCCCGTCATTTTTTCCAAGGCGTATGGCCACGGTTTCTTTTTTCCCAGTTCGAGCATTGCGCTACAAGCCAAAAAAGTACATAAAGTGAACACGTTCTTGAATATAAAATTACGTTGCACGAAAACTGTAAAAACGTTGCAATAAATTGTTTTAATGACAGCGTCAATTGATATACCACTGCTTGTAGGACGAGATGTGTGGTGCATATCTTATGTAAAATATATGAATCTTAAATGGTCTGCACAAGCCTTCGCTAAATCAAGTTCAAAAATATTATTTATGATAAGCAGTGGCGTAGGCAGCCCACTGAGTTTTACTATATTACTGGATGAGGTGTTCCTATCTCTCTTCAGTAAAAAAAGTGTCGCAAAAAACATAGCGGATTTTCACGTTTGCTGACGCCAGAATGACGCCACTGGTTCCAAATCCTCATGGTAATTACCATTGAGCAAAGCTCATTTTGAGCCTGCTACCACTTTCACATCCCCCTGATTTTCGAAAAAATATTTTAGCTTTTTGTTTTGAAGTTTGCCTCGGTGTTTGTCTTCTCTTTGACATTTAGTCTAGGACCTGTATATGAGTTTGTATGCATTTCATTTAGGACAGATAATCTCAACTGTTTTAGGGCAAATTGACATGACGGTCAACATGGTAATGCTGCCCAAACCCCAATCCGGGACGAAACGTCCGAAACTGACCACACCCAAAAACGACGCTTTCGCCATAGTGCTATCTACCAAACCATAAAAGCTTTGACTATTCTGCGGTGCTTACAGTATATGGTTCAGAGATGGTGGTTTTAGGGGTGGTCCTTGGTAAGTGTGAAATGCCTAGCACTGATATTTCATAAGAAAATGACCATGCAATACTCATAGTCAAACGTCAATTTGCGGCTTACAACTTCAAATAAACAGCAGTGGATCTACATTACCTTTTTTCCTAAATCTTTTTTATAGAAACATAATAGGTATTTATGTTATTATATTATCACTGTTTTGGTGTAAAATAGTTAATATTTTGTGACCGGAATAATAATTTGAAGTGTACATACCTCCTGCAAGTGGACGTATTTGGCCAAATTCTCCACTTTACTCCGCTGTTTATGGCCGATCTCGTTGAAAACAATTCGGCCTTGTTATTCTTCCATCCAAGCCATTTCCATCAACGAATAACAAATTTAACCCTTTGTTAGGGGTATTAAAATAAAAATACAAATGAAATATGCGATATGCAGCATTTTATCACCCTGTAAGATGTTGCTTACGAGTCTTTCAAAACACTGCGTACAAATCTCGCGTGATAAAGTGACAGGGCCGTGACAGCCTGACAGGAGGGGGTGAATTTTTTCACGAATATAGAAGAAGGCTGCGTGAAATAGACTAAAAACTAAATACAATCATACAAACGTTTGTTTTATTTCTTGTAGCGACAAATAAATACATATTATTATTTATTAATATGAACAAGTCATACAAATTAAATGTTGATTGTTGGTTTTACCATACTGCGTTGGGCTTTGCTTTCATTTTTCAAGTCTCCACCCCCCCCCCC